GATGGGGCAGCCGTTGCAACTATACTGAAAAAGGTCTCAGTATAGTTACAACGGCTGCCCCACCCTCACACTTCTAAGGAGAACTCATATCTCAGGGTGGGTGGCGGCATTTACGTTGGTGATGTCTATGAGCTCCGGTAACCACTTAACACCAGGTGGGCTGTGAGCTCGGTAACCCATCTACGCATTAAAAAACAAATAAATCAAAGTACTATAAATAACTCAAAGTTGTACTTTTTCGACACAGCCGCCATTAGTTTAACAATGAGACAACTTCTGCCATGTCTGAATATATTGAACAGTACATTTGATTTAATTCCTCAATTGAAACTACTCAGCAAGTCTGTGAAATTAATAGTGGTTAGAATATTTTACTCGACTTCGTTAAATTCGACTAAGCATTGCTTAGTGAATTAGATATGATTGAAATGAAGGGTTGTATTTTATGTGTAGATCGTGAATACCTAGTATCATATAAAATAATACATAATCTATATATTTTTTATTGCTCAGATGGGTGGACGAGCTCACAGCCCACCTGGTCTTAAGTGGTTACTGGAGCCCATAGACATCTACAACGTAAATGCGGCACCCACCTTGAGATTTAAGTTCTAAGATCTCAGTATAGTTACAACGGCTGACCCACCCTTGAAGCCGAAACGCATTGCTGCTTCACGGCAGAAATAGGCAGGGTGGTGGTACCTACCCATGCGGATTCATATAGGTCCTGCCACCAGTAAGAAATAAGTAAGAAGTATATTTAATAATGTATCTTTTTTTATAGTCATGAAGTAAAATGACTTTACCTTTATTTGTCTAGTTACAGTTAGAACAAAATCTCATTCGATTCATCAAATCAGACAATAAGCATTTTAACTAAAAGGGGTTTAAACTTAACATTTTCACATGGTCTAAAATTGAAACAAAGTAAAATGTCAAACGCATCTCGTGAATAATAAATTCCATAAAACATAATGAAATTTTCAGAATGAAGATGAGATTTTCCCCGACACATTGTATTCATTGTAACGCTATTTGTGCGATAATGAAACAACGGCTATTCCACGATTTGTTGAATTCCAACAATGCGAATACTCGTGTTGTCTGTTAATTAATGTGCCTTTTCAATGCCGAATGCATTTCGTATTTTGATTGTATTATGCAATACCTTCATGCTTGCGGCTGTCGAATATTGTCTGACGCACGGAATAGATAAATAAGGTTGGAAAGGACTTTGCTCTAATTTTGTATTAGAACCAGTCGCCGCTTCATCCCCACTATTTTAATTTCTACACATACACATACTGTGATTACAAGTATTTCGCACACAACAAAAACACCCACACATTATTTATCTATTCCGTGGTCTGACGGCAACATATTCTAACGCTTTCAAAAATGTCTAATATTTCGACTTTCATGAAGTCTTACGACTTTCAGGGAACCATTGAGAAGGGAGAAATAGTGTGCCTGTAGTATTATTTTTTATTGCCCTTTAGGCAGACGAGCATACCGCCCACCTGATGATGAGTGGTTACTGTCGCTCATAGACGTCAACAATGCCAGGTGCAGAGCCAAGTGGCTGCCTCCCGTTAATACTTTCCACAAGGCTCGGTTGAAGAAGGACATGTCATAGCGCTCGGGAAAGACCGTGAAAGGGAGATCATTCCAAAGCCGGATGGTACGTGGCAAAAGTAAAAATAAATGTAGTACAAAATAAATGGTAATCTGTCTTCATATAAACAAAAATAACTTCGAAGTCGTGACTTAAAAGATAGGATATTCAGTGCATTCCTATCGAGCGATGCTTGAAGCCCGAAAGTAGGTACTAATTTCTCTAACGAATTACGTCCTTAACAAATGCTCACAAATGACTTTCATAGTGAAGGAAGGATAGCATCGTGTAATAAAAATCAAACTATACTATCAAGTCAGTGTAGCACCTTCTGTTCAGAAACTATCACAAAGATACGACAAACAGGAATAAGTAAAAAAATCGGTTGTCTGTAAAGTCGGTTTACTGACGATAGTTGAACGTGACAACGTCTTAAGAAAATACTGATGGAATGGTTTCATTTTTCAAAAGAAAATTTTAATTTTGTTTGTTTGATAAATATTTTGTATGGACAATTGACACCGCATTCACTTTTCACTGAACTTCATACTTGACGAAAACATGTAAAATAAATGTATTATTGTATAGCAGCTGTCCACGCGGATGCATCGCTCACTCAAGTAGGCGAGAAGCCAACAGATGTCGAACGCTGTCGAACGCGGAGGCCGAATGTGCCTCTTTGTCGCTCGTTGAGCGCTCTCGCTTGCACTTCAAGCCTTAAATGGAACGCCTCAGAGCGAGGTAACGCCGCAGGAGGCATGTTTTTTCGTGCGTGCAGCCGGCTCCATCAAATTATAAGACGTTGTCACGTCAAAAAGTAACATAATTTTCATATACTAAACTAGAACCACTTCACCGAAAATAGAATTACAGCAACAGATTACAACAATCTGCAGCAAACATTTTAATTTTTGAGCGTGTTTTATTACCACCTGTAAAGCTATTATTGACACCTGGTGGCCACCATTTCGTTAGAAAGCCCATAAATTCGACCAGAATAGCCCTGTTATGTGTGGGAAATGGCAGTTGCCCGATTAGAGGGAAACCTTAGATTTTCCCGCTCCGAAAATAGTATTCAAACAAATGAAGGTAGTATATTTTGTTTAGTTAGCTGTTTTTAATGCATTAACGAATTTTGTTTATTAAATTTAGCCGATAAATACTTATTACGATTTGTAAATACATAAATATAAATAATTGAGTGTAACGATTACCAATGCAATTTTTAATTTGATAATTTTTTCTGGATTATCTTTTTTTTTAATGCTTAGGTGGGTGGACGAGCTCACAGGCCACCTGGTGTTAAGTGGTTACTGGAGCCCATAGACATCTACAACGTAAATGCGCCACCCACCTTGAGATATAAGTTCTAAGGTCTCAAGTATAGTTACAACGGCTGCCCTACCCTTCAAACCGAAACGCATTACTGCTTCACGGCAGAAATAGGCAGGGTGGTGGTACCTACCCGCGCGGACTCACAAGAGGCCCTACCACCAGTAAACTTACAAGAGACCCTACCACTAGTAAACTATAAATATTTTCCTGTCCTAAACGATCCTGTTGTGTAGATTATCTAAAAAAATCGTAACAGTTCAGTTTTTTGCACACATAATGAGCTAACAGTATCTTAAGATCGGAGAATTACATTGACTAGTGATAAAATAGGATTTGAAGAATAAGATTCGAGATGTTACAAGCCGTCTTCTTTTATAGCATGATCCGAGGTATTAGATATATATGTATAGGTACTTTTCTCACCAACAAAAGGAGCGTGATAAACGAATATAAATTTTCCAAGATATGGACTCGATCAATTGTTTCACTCGCAATCCGAGAAACAGTCAAGATCGGAAACTGTATACTAAACATGTGAAAAATTTCACTTCAGCTTTGTGACTTAAAGTCGAATGTAAATTAAAAGGTATCATCATAAATATCATAAATTATAATATTATAAATACTTTGCGCTTCTGCTCTGCACTGCAAATGCTTAATATAAATTGTGCAGAGGTTTGGGGTTTGGTCTAAATAACACGTGAGATAATTGAGAAATTTTAATGAAACTGCTGATATAGTATTATACTATAGTACTATAACTAAATAGTTATTTCATTAAAGATTATTAAAATTTTATGCTAATATTTATCTTATGCATTTTTAAATCAGATTTGTGCATAGAGATTAGGAAAATCCAAATATCCCAGGGTGACAAATGTTACGTCTTTTATTTCTAATTCTTTTCTTTTTACTTACCTGTTTTTCCTTTTTCATGTGATGTAATTGTTGGGTAAAAAATACGTATTGCTCATTAATATATAAGTATTTTAATTAAAGGAAATGCTTACAAAATACTAATAAACGGTTGATTTCTTAAATTAGAAGGAAGAAGAGCATACAGCCCGTATGATAGCATGTGATCATATTTGCTGAAGCTCATCATTAATGTCAAAGTATAGCTAAGCGGTTGGTTACCATTTAGGACTCGTTTGAAAGGAGGCGAAAGCAAACAATGTGAATCTCTTGCTGATGTTAATTTAAATTTAGTTAAATCGTTCAAAACAGTTTCAATAGTTTTCATAGAAAACTCAATTAAGCTCAATAATTATTTAAGCTCGCCCGGTCGTCTTTAACTTGGGATCGCTACATAATAGATTCGCTTGGTCGAAAGTATTAATTTTCAATGACAGATGCGCTTTAGATTTTCGAATCGAATTCATCACGGTTCGTAAATTATTCAGGAAGAGTAGTGAGCTTTTTGCATTCAGGAATTCTATAGCGAATTGTAATTTCTCATGCGGTATTCATGAAAATTTAAAAAAAACTTTATTTTATTTTCATTCAATTTATGTTATCATATTTAGTAGTATATCAGTTTTGTATGTAATTTATCATTTACGATCCTATTAAAACCCAAACATCACTTCGCTGTGAATATTGCCATATTTTTTTTTGCACACGTGTTAAAAAACATACATTTGTTCAATATCGACAACTTCTATGCCACTCAAAATATAATCTAATAGTTCAAGTTCAGCTTAAAATATTCATTAGAAGGTTTACAGTATTGTATGATAATTTGCAGGTGTATAATTTACTCAACTGTGTAGTACGCTTGTGTATTGCTTGTGTGTCCAATCACTTCGTAAATACTTACGGTACCTACAAGGTTGTTGTGTGTTGACGTTGTGAAAGATTTATTTGATAGAAAATCGTATCAACAAATCGATACTTTTTAACAAAGGGGTGTATTTCATGTATTTAATCGATATTCATATTAATAGCAAAATGTAGCGTAGCTTAATATTTATTTATTTGCTTAAGGCTCAGACAAGTATTTCATGTTATTAATTCAGGACGAGAATTAAAACACATTTTTCATAGAAATTTTATTACAACATAAATAGACTAAGAAGGCATCTTTGGTAGAAAGCGTAACACTATTTTAATGTTTAAAACATTTGGTTGACAATTGAAAACATTTTAATATATTCTATTAATGATATAACATTCTAAAACATTCCTCTCTAGCAAAATAATTGCACTAATTGCAAATTGTCATGATATAGGTTCATTAAAAAAATCACCAAAATTTTACCAAAAAAACATGGTTACTGTCTAACCAGACATCTTTAATTTAGAAAAAAAACAATGCTGTATCTCAGTTCATTTCCAAGACCAGAGTTTCAATCAAAATGAATTAGTTTATGCTTTAATTAAAGTGCTATTTTTTAAAAGCAGATAGTATTGATTTATAAACCGGTACAAAAAAAATGCAACTAAATCGAAAAAAGAAAATGATGTGCGCGCAACTTAGTGCACGTGAAAGAAGTGAAATTTCTTTTGAGTAGTACATATTGTGGTTTTCTTTATCTTTTATTCTTAAATCAAATTTCCCTTGTAATAGGGAACGCTGTGTATAAGAGAAACGACCTAGTTCGCTTTGCCCTTTCGCTCTTTCTACGGTGTAGTGGTTCGCGAGACGCTCTGTCTATTTTCTCACTCTCGCTCTTTCTAAGCGGTATCTTTTCTCTCTAGCCGTAACGAATCTGTCGCGAGTTAAATTTTACTTTCAACGCGCTCAAAGAAATTTCACTTCAAAAATATGTAAAGTATGTACTAAATTAGTTGAATTTCTTAAAAATAGTTATATTAGATTTACAGCATTACTTTAAATTATTTCATATTTGTGTGATATTTCTTAATGACGAATTAAATAGTATGTATCATCTTTAATAAAAAAAAATATGGACATTAAATTAACTTAACTCATATTTGGAATAACTGAAGAATCCTATTTCATTTGGCCTTTCTTTGTACATTCAACATTGAATATAATCTGTATTAATTTTCTTAAGGATACCCACAATGCATTTTTAATATTCAACTATGTGAACAATATTTCGAGTTTTCAATATATGCATTCGGTGGCCGAGTTTCTGCCCACGCATCGATCATTATTATACCTTTAATGGCTTTTTAATGAACGCTAAGAGCTCGTGAAAATATTTTTAAAATATTTGTAGCGTACATGAGAGTCAATACTGGGAAATTATGTAATACGATTGTTAATTAATATGTAAAAATGCTCTCATGCAAAAATACCCGTAAATTGAAAACGAATTCGATTCCCTTTGATATGTACGAATGAATTCGAGCATGCGTTCATCATCGTAATGTGAAAGTAATATTAATTTTTTTTGGCATGTTATTTATTTCTTATTGAACACAGAAATATTTAAATGACTATGGAATTTTACTCGATGAATTCGGACATTACATTAATTAACTCCAACTGTATATTAAAATATATGGAATAAATTAAACAGCGGAATGCTTCCCGGTGATAATCCCCGTGCTCTTATTGTACTCGTATTCCTTGTGACCTTTGTCTGGCCTCTTGTGACAGTCCTCTAAATCACCGTTGTCTCTCAAAAGACCTTTTTCATCGCTGTAAATCAATGTCTACTTCATAATATGACACTTGTCATCGTGACACATGTCAAGTGACATTGAAAAAGTTTGTGTCATTGTGCTTCATTGTTGATGAGTTCAGAGTATCGGTTGTTAAAGTGTGCTGGAAGCTATGTTTTGTTTTTTGTGAAGTCGTTAACTTGCGGATAATAATATCTCAAAGTTAGAGGCATAAGGTCGGATATCCACGGTCCACTAGACTGAGAATGGATTTATGTAAATTAATAGATGGTTAAAATTACAAAATATTACATACAACACTACATTGTTTTGGGTAAAATGAAAAGTAAACAAATTATGACAATGACAATTTAAGCAATCACGCCACGTTACCTGGTCCCGTGTTAACCTCGTAAAGAACTTGTGTTACAGTTACCAGATAACGGAAATAAATGTAAGATTTTTTTATTATACACATACATATATTTAATATACATCCATAACCCTGGAAAAGACTTTTTTTTTATATTTATTAAACAAACATCTTCCCTTGGCGGGATTCGAACCCGCGACCCCTTGTGTAGTGATCATGTCACTTACCACTACACCAGACGGCCGTCTGGTGTAGTGGTATAATTAAATATAATTATTAACATTATTAATATTATTAACAATTATATATAAATAATTAAATATAATTATTATAAAATAATTAAAAATAATTAAATAAATAAATAAAATAATTGTTATTTGATCGTTTTGGATTTGTTTAATTAATTCTTTATATGGTGAAAATCGTGTTGCCTTACGGTTTCGTGTTCTTTAGTGTGCTTCTGAAATTTGTAAATTGTATTTTTATTGGAGATACTCTGATAATAAATATGTACACCATTTAACTGCATCCTGAGATTATGTCTTATTTACTAACTTCAACTTTATAAGATCGTTTTCATTATGTTTCGATCTATAACTTTAAGTGGAAACTAAATGAGCAATTAGTGTCATAGCTTGTGTGTGTGGTATTGTGTGTAAAATATCCTACAAATACTCTTTGTTTCTCAATAAAGTAAATTAACAAGTGATTGTTCTATGAAAATACTATTTTATAATATCAATACTTTAATTATGTACACAATAAACTAAAAATATCTATAGAAAACTGATCTTACCGTGACTTCAACTCGTCGTCTTTGGTTTTCTTCGAGCAACACGTCGCAATGATACCCTGCTTCCTCCAAGCACAAAGCACTAAGTCTAGTAAAACTAAACATATGACAACTACAACTACAGCTATGCCTATTATAGCTCCGGCCGACAATAAGCCCAAAGTATTGTGTGTCGATAGCGCTGTAACAAATATTTGGGTTTTAAATTTGACCTAGAGTGATGTCAAGGAGCAAGCGCAAGACAGAGTAAAGTGGAGACAACTTGTGAGGGCCCTATGTACCAGCGGGGTATCCTAGGACTACAACAACAACATCAACAACAACAACAACAAAATTTCTTGTGAGCTATTTCTAAATTGCCGTTACCAATAGAGGCCTATAAAATAAAAGGCAGCTAAATCCAATCTGTCAAATATTCAGGTAAACTACAAAAATCGGCCCTAAACACGTCATTACGGATCCTCTCGATCCATCGAAGTACTGCTCTTGCTAGGGCCAGTGTTAGCAACATTCCCGGTTTGAGAAGCTGAAATAACTTTGTTCGGATAGCTACGATATTCTTTATTTTAAAGCAGATTTATAAAGAATGAGAATATTACTAATAATCTGAATGTTAAATGATAAAACTTCGTTTATTAGTACTTAGTACAGAGTAAAAATAATTTTTTTGAACTGAATTGGTTAGAGATTTAGCTGCATTTGCATAGCTGCATAACATGAAAACACTAAAGCGTGTCCAACTAACTAAACAAGATAGCGCCATTATNTTCTTTATTTTAAAGCAGATTTATAAAGAATGAGAATATTACTAATAATCTGAATGTTAAATGATAAAACTTCGTTTATTAGTACTTAGTACAGAGTAAAAATAATTTTTTTGAACTGAATTGGTTAGAGATTTAGCTGCATTTGCATAGCTGCATAACATGAAAACACTAAAGCGTGTCCAACTAACTAAACAAGATAGCGCCATTATTAATCCATTTTACGACATTAAGGCGTTTAGCTGCCTTTGATTTTATAGGCCTCAATTCTTCGATACTGCTGTCATGTTTAGTTCCGATATGGAGTTACCGTGTACCTAATTTAATTGCCTTTATGGGCAAAGGATTCATGTATGTGGTCATCTTCAGCAGCTTCACACCGCTGAGGATTCTCTTCAAAGTTCTTTTGAAGAAGGACGTAGCGTTCAAGAAACACTATGCAGGGGAATGAATTCCAAAGTGGCAAGGTATGTGCCAAAAAAGATTTCTAGAAACGCTCTGTCGAGAAACGCAGCGGTTCCATATAGTATTGGTGACTTTGCTGCGGTGGCGGGCGATAGTATCGTAAAAATTGAGATGCCGAGATTTTAGTTAACACTTCCTCATATCACTCCTAAGAGGACATACGCGAAAACTGGATTATTGACAATTCGAACGGCATTCTTCCGAAAGTAGCTGGTATTTGTGAGCCTCAGAGAACCACTCCACATTAGGCAGAGTCTGCGATTGGTAAATCAAGTCTTTATACAGGCGCATGGTACCTCTTCCAACTATCGAAGCCCATGGGCATCTTAGAAGCCAACTTAGTGTCTCTTCACCTCAACCTTCGAAATAAGTCCCATACTGATGACCGCTTGAAATATCGACCCAAAAAATCGAATTTCTTGAAAAGTTGCAGAGATACTCTTTGAATTTTCGGCACTAGTCAATATTTATATTAAACTTTGCTTTGTATAACAAAACGTACCTATGTTTACGTAATTTACGTACGTAACCGCTCACCATCAGGTGGGCCGTACACTCGTCTTCTTACAAAGGCAATAAAAAAAAATAAAAAAAATTGGCCAACACACAATATTTTAACCAACATTTTTTAGATTAGATGTTTTTAGAAAGCAAAAAATTGACCAAACATTTGGCCAACATTTGTAATAATACTAAATGAAATTGCAAAAAATACCTGCAGTTATTAGTGTGATATTTGAGGGCGTGGAGTTTCCTTGTGCATTATGCGCTATGATCTCAACGAAGTAAGTCGTGTTGTGTTCCAAACTACTCAAATTGAATTCAGTGTTTTCTCCAATACGTTCTTCTCCGCACAGCTCACCGTCTGAATCATCGTCCACCTAAAATTCAATTGTAACCAACTTTAAAACGGTAATTTTAATCATTTTTTTGTCTTCATTAGTCAAGAGTCGTCAATATTTTTGTCAGATTTTATGTTATTCTATGTATTTAAATAGGTAGGTGAGTAGATTTTAACAGCGCAGGTAAGCCCTCCGTAAGATGAACCGATGCTCTACTGCATACAGTGGCGAGAATCTCCTTGACGGACCACAGTATCAGTCAATCGAACTTTGGAGGATACTTATGTCCAGCAATACACATCTTTTTGACGATAATAATGAATTTCGATATGTGTAGTACATATCTTATATTACATATTAATTCGTACTAGTATTCGTTTCTTATGGAAGTGATTCATGATAACAGTAACACGTGTAGCTTCAGGATCGATTATAATGACATGGCTCGATACTAGAGAATTCTCTCGCTTTGAAGTAGTAGTGGTCTAAAGGAGAAGACGTCTGGTGCATTCGTAGCGAGCGATGTAACTGTACTAGTGTTGGAATCCTGCAGGCAGATAGGTACCTATTTTTGTAATGAAATATGTAGTTAAACACATGTTTACGAATGACGACTTCCACGATGAATTAATAAGATAATGTAATCATAATATAATCAAGCGGTACCACCAGCCTACTTATTCCGGCCGCGAAACAGTAATGCGTTTCGATTTGAAGCTTTGAAACCCCACCATAAGTCCAACCATGGCAATATTCACTGTCTATTGTCTATTGCCTAAATTACAATAACTGCTTAGCAACATGTGTGTCCTGTTTTCACCTGCAGATTTATCTCATTTAAAACGAAAAAGANATCATAATATAATCAAGCGGTACCACCAGCCTACTTATTCCGGCCGCGAAACAGTAATGCGTTTCGATTTGAAGCTTTGAAACCCCACCATAAGTCCAACCATGGCAATATTCACTGTCTATTGTCTATTGCCTAAATTACAATAACTGCTTAGCAACATGTGTGTCCTGTTTTCACCTGCAGATTTATCTCATTTAAAACGAAAAATAACAAATCACCAGTACATTAACTTGTGAAAGAAAAACTCATGCATTTTCACTGTCATCTATATATAATGATAATACAACATTGAAATTTTATAAATCCGATTCAATTGATGACACAAAATCGTCTATGAATTACGTATGCAAAAAATACAGTTTTGTTACGGTGAAATCACGGAACAAAAGTGCAGCGAAGATAAAAGAAACAGATGGAACTCGTAATAATATGCAAATTGTTTCTGTAAAGCAAAATTGGAATTCAACGAACAACAGAACTCGTTCATTGCACAAATGATGAAATATTAATGTACTTTCTTACAAAGTTCCAACGGTACTTTTTTTAGGAAAAAAAAAACATGAATATTGTACAAGTCGATGTCAGGAGAATTTTTATAGTTACTACACTACTGTGTTTTGTTATCAACTTTTGTCGACATTATTGTGGGATTTTATTTAAATTGATTTTTCTTTAGTGCATACTTCTTTATCGTATCTTTAATTTGAAAGTCGATGAAATAATAAAGCGACAGAAGAGATCTACATAATACACCTCCAAAAGATTTAGCTTGGAAGAGAATATAATTAAATAAGTCTGAATGTTACACGCCTACGACATGTGAATTGTACACATATTTTTTGACTTAAATACATACGCCAGTTAGATTACGGCTGTTGTATATGTACATGAAAGCTGAAGCCACACAAAGCTGAATGTGAGAATACTTCACACCAGAAATATGAAAGCAAAATGGCTTAGCCGTTCATATAGTTCCGAAAACAAGGTCATCAGAATATATCTAATGAAATACGTACTTAACAAATGGTGACTCTAAAATCTCTCGCTCTCAATTTAAAATTATTATCCACATTACTGGTGGTAGGACCTCTTGTGAGTCCGCACGGGTAGGTACCACAACCTTGCCTATTTCTGCCGTGAAGCACTAATGCGTTTCGGTTTTACCGTTGTAACTATACTGAGGCCTTAGAACTCTATCTCAAGGTGGATGGCAGCATTTAAGTTGTAGATGTCTATGGGCTCCAGTTAACACCAGGTGGACTGTGTGCTTGTCTACCCATCTAAGCAATAAAAAAAACGTAATTACTAGTAGTAGAGCGTCTTATGGGTTCGCACGGGTCGGTACCGTCAATTTGCCTATTTCTGCCACGTAACAGTAATGCGTTTCTGTTCGAAGGCAATCAATGTCCTGTAAACCTGAAACTCTGAACTCATGTCTGATTACGAGTGGTGGCCTTTACGTTGTTGTTGTCCATGGGCGCCGGTAACCACTTAACGTTAGTTGGGCCATGAGTTCGTCCAGCAATTTAGGAAATAAAAAAGCGCGTTACTTACTGGACAATATCGTACGGCGTAATAGTCGATTGAATCTCCATTGTCTGCGGGCGCTTTCCATTTCAGTACGTTGTCCGGGCTCTCAATTTGCACGTAATCCGAGTCTAGGACCGGAGGCTCTGGTACTGATCTATTTCATTTTTATCTATTTATTAGTTACAGGGAGTAAAAAAAATGGCCTAGAAGCCAAAAAGCGAAAAAACCACTGGCCTAAATAATATTTATTTACTAAAAACGAAAATGTAGGGCAAAGCTAGTCCCATTTTTTCAGCAAAGGCTTAATATATTTTTATGGTCCTATTCAAAATGAGTTATCGGAGCTTCATAAGTCCGTTATGAGAAACATGTTAAGAAGTGTTATTCATTTTTATTATGAATAGCTGAGTCCCGCGATTCTACGCCTGACGTGACGCGATCTGACGCCGCAGGACAAAGCTACTCTTAAAAAGTAGCATAAGTTACTCCTTGTATCATCAGCTACCTATCAATTAAAGTCCCGTCAAAATCGGTCCAGCCGTTCCAGAGATAAGTCGGAACAAACAGGCAGGCAGACAGACAGACAGACAAAAATTGTAAAAAATGTTATTTTGGTGTATTTACTGTATGTATATATGTATATGAATAATATATTCATATGCATCTAGTAAAAAGCGGTTATTTCAATATTACAAATAGACACTCCAATTTTATTTATATGTAGGTATAGATAACACTTTTTACGGTGTTCTTATAAAGGGACTATAAAGCTCCCATAATTGATTATGAATAAGATAATTAGAATTTAATCATATTATTATCAAAAGAATATTAGATTTTAGTACTGCGCACACTGAATCCGACACACACACGCGACACAAGACATGAGATAACAGAGTTCCGTTCCACCATTATTAACGATTGATTCTAAACAAAACAAATGCTTGAATCATCGAAGTATTTCTTTTAACTAGTGATCGAATCTTCTGTAGTCGAAATTCGACTATAATTGATTGAAATTATAAGCTTAGACATTATTATGGTTCTATTGTCAAAGGCTATACTTCAAGTTTTAATCATATTAATCTACTAGCGACCCGCCCTCGCTTCGCTTCGGAAACATTAAAACACACATGAAACCAAAAAAAAAAATAAAAAAAAAATTTAAAAAAGTAGCCTATGTTCATCAGGGACAATGTCGGCTTCTAATGGAAAAAGAATTTTTCAAATCGGTCCAGTAGTTTCAGAGCCTATTCGAAACAAACAAACAAACAAATCTTTTCTCTTTATAATATTAGTATAGATTCTCAATTTCAGCACAGGCTTTATCAATAAATATGTAGGTATGCGTGTGTGTGTCAAATACATGGTAGTATGTGTAATGTTTTCTCTATTGATTTAATGATTTTTTTATGCATAATTAAAAAATATATTAGCATTCTGCACTTTTTCTCTATATTCTCCATAAGTGTGAGAAATTTTATACTCCTCCATCCGCTCAATTTTCGTAAAAAGGAATACAAAATTTCTGCTTTACCTATTAATTTAGAGATAATCATTAATTCCTTGAGATTTGGCCTTAAAAACAAAATTTATGATATATTTTTAAACAAAAACATGAATGTATTCGAAATTAATTCAAATAAGTATGTTGATAAATGTGAAGAGATCTTATTCATTTACTGGTAGTAGGACCTCTTGTGAATCCGCCCGGGTAGATACCACCACCCTGTCTATTTCTGCCGTGAAGCAGAAATGCGTTTCGGTTTAAAACGTGGGGTATCGGTTGTAACTATACTTGAGACCTTAGAACTTTTAACTTAAGGTGGGTGGCGCATTTACGTTGTAGATGTCTATGGGCTCCAGTAACCGCTTAACACCAGGTAGGCTATGAGCTTGTTCACCCATCTAAGCAATTAAAAAAAATATTATTTAATCTCAATAAATCTTTACCTTTCAAGGGTTTCAAAAACTAGTGTTTCACTCCAAGGTCCGGTGCCCGCTTCATTTATAGCAGCGAATTTCACGTGATGCGTTGTATTCGGCTTCAGTTTTTCTAATTTGAACGGTCTATTTATAGCCCAAGTTCTGTTTAGATGTATGTGAGTTATTTCATAGTTGGCCGCCTGGTCGTATTCCGCGGTGTACCCGATTACCTCGGGACCTTCGTATTCACTTGGCTCTTGTATGGAAAAGGTTATTGATGTTGCCGCTTGTTGTTCGATTGTAACCTAAAATTAGACGTGTTTTTTTTTACATTTCATACTGAATTCACGTTTGAATGGCGCTAAAACTCACAAAAGAAGAATAAGAGCACGGAACGGGCTATTATTAAATTAATATATTTCAGATCGAATATTAATCCATATGGGAATCGAAATTTGTAATTTTAAAATATTCGTAACAGGCTGCAATAAGTGAACACCCGTTACACGACATTAAAATAAAGACTTAGAACGACTTAGACGTGTTTAGTTTTCTGTACTGGGACTTTCTAGTCCCACGCATGATGCCACCGGAGTAATCTACATGCTTCTAGAACAAAAATATCATAGCATGTTCATAAAATTTCAGAATGCATGCATTAATATTTTCAAGGAGTTGTTTCATTTGAATTTCGCGATAGCTATTGTATTTCTTTTTTTCTCTACCTCTTCACTGGTAGCCTAAGAAGCTATTCCAGCTATTAGAGCTTCTCGCGGAGGGGTAGGTGATCTCACGGGCTCAATCTTAGAGAATTTGCTAACACTAGCCCTAGCAAGAGCAGTGCTATGCAGAATCTACTACCGGATCGGAAACGCGACCCATTGAGAAGATCCGGTGAGAAACTCAGTGGACTGGGTCCTTGGGTTAGTTCACTCGTTGAACTCTTCATCGTCATCGATGAGATCGACGAGAAAGGTGACCAATGCTTGCAGAGCCTAAAATAACCTAGAGTGGACTATGGCGGATACGACAAGACATGTTTCGGATGACGGCGGCTGCGTTGCGCCGTCGTGGTCGGATAAGAAACTATTGTATCAATTTGTTATTGAACAGAGAAAGGTATTAAATCATTTAAAAGTCTTTTAAATAATCTTAATATTTTGCATCTCATTTTCAAGAATGCCTACAGATGGCTGTCTGTGTGTAATATTTTTATTGTCACGAGCATCAATTGCATTAAAGTCGTTAGAATTATCAAGAGGAAATAAAAGTTCAAAAACAAGTTCCTCACGTTGTTTACGACGGAAGGTACAAAGCCTTTCTTCAAAGTGATCGTCTTCGTTGCTTCACCGTAAGCGTTTTTAGCAACACATTCGTAAACTCCGTATAAAAAGTTTTCGTCAATATTTACAGGAAGGTATTGTTCCTGAGCATTGTTTAGTTTCTCTATTAGCTGTTTGTTTAACTCGACTTGTTCTGCTGTCGGTATCTCGTTACCTTGAAATCTAAAAGACAATAAAAAAAAATCATAATGATTATTACTATTTGTAATACAATATGTGCTACATATTTAATTTTACTTTTATTCTGCCACCCACCTAATGTTATGGTCTAGGATTTGATAAAAAAAACTTTAGCTAAAAAATTCGATATCTTGTTTGAAGTTTTCCATTTTTTCTAAAATATCTGTAGATTTGTTATTTTTTTTCGTATCACGTTGTGCTAAGTACATTTTTAATAGCGAGATTTATATTTAGATTTTAAAAGTATTTGTCGTATTTGTTGAACCAAAAACACATTGAACAAAATTAAATGATGAATACGAGTATAATATCAAATTTAGCAACATATAAACTGTTTAAATTAATGCGTAATTATTTTAAATACCATGTATTGATAAATAAAAAACCTAAACCTAACTCTCTAAAGGGTCAAGATACATGTTTAGAAATCTTCTGAGGTCAAAATGTGAATCCAATCCTAACTAGAACTAGATTTTACACACTGTCTCTTATTTTAGGCCTATGACTTGTAGACTGAAAAGCACATATGATACCGCATGATTCTTAATCTATGATAAAATGAAATACATAAAAACTGTTTTAAGCATACCTCCAAGATATAACAGAAGGAGGTTCGCTTTCGTGGGAGCAACTCAAATTGAAAACTTTACCGTTCCAACCCCAGAGATCTTCGGTAGGATACTCAAAGTACGGTTTATGTAAAACTGTCAAGTACATTGTCTTCGATGCATTACCAACTGAAATTTTGATTAGTGACGTTGAGTTAAACAGTCCCATTAGTATATTCAACCATCCTGCTTATTTCTAGAGCGAAATAAGTTCCAATTTTAAAGGTGGGACCAATGGTTAAGAAATTTCATTAAAACTTCGAGCTCGTATGTCATAAAGTAGGTAGTGGCTAAATATGTCCAACAAGACTAGCTCCTACTAGGCAAATTAGAAAATAGACGGATTCTCGGAGACCCAGAAATCTGTTGAAGTTAATTGTAATAGATCTAACAAAAAGCAAAAAAATGATTGTATGTATATATTTTTATTTCGATCGTCTAAGAAACTGTTAGGTTTTTCAAGTTTACTAACAATGTAACTGTTGTCTGCAAAAAAAAACGTGATTTTACACGGAAAATAATACTCGCGTCGTTTCTATTGGATATGCTAGATTGAATCATATATAACTCAAAACACTACGGGATGGTGTCACAAAAATTATCAGCTACATACCATGAAAGAAAATTAAAGTTGGAAATTAATATAAAACATAAGCAATCAATAGAACCTGGTGAGGATCCGTTATCCAGAAAATCAATGATAATAAATTGGAAACATTATAGACACGTAATTAGTGTCTTTGAAAGTTGAGGCTTACCTTCATTAATCGCATTACAATAGTAAACTCCTTTATGATATCGCTCAACAACAAATGACCAATCTAACGGTAGTTCAGTATGTTTTTCTCTGAAAAATAAATTTTGTAAAACACATGTACCAAAAATGTTGCCGTTCAAAATTCTGCTGGTGGTGGCAGCTTTACTGGTGGTAGGACCTCTTATAAGTCCGCACGGGTTGGTACCACCACCCTGCCCATTTCTGCCGTGAAGCAGTAATGCATTTCGGTTTGAAGGGTGGGACAGCCGTTGTAACAACACTTGTCACTATACTGAGATCTTAGAACTTATATCTCAAGGTAGGTGGCGCATTTACGTTGTGGATGTCTATGGGCTCCAGTAACCACTTAACACCAGGTAGGCTGTGAGCTCGTCCACCCATCTAAGCAATCACAAGAAAAATCTGCATCATACAAACTATGTACAAACCCATTTTCGTCGGAATCAAATATACTCGTTGTAACTGTGATGTTGGGTTTCGGAATTCCCAGAGCTTCACAGGCGATTTTGATATTGGTCCCTTCCTCGGCAGTCATGTTATCAAAACCAAATATTTCTGGTGGAACTAGTACCTAATGAAACAGATTAATTAGTACTTGTTATCATAATTTGAATTATATTCTAGTCGAGTAAGGAATCGATATGTTTTTACCTCGATTAGTGCACCACTAGTAGAATTACCGGCCATATTGTACGCAGTGCATTCGTAGTAACCAGCATCATAACCCTTTATATCATCAAATATTAATGTATTAGCTACTTGCTTCCATGTTTGATTCCCTTCATCGTTCGGACCCTACAAAGTTTTGGTGATAGGTGAATTCCTGGATTTTACTATAAAACTGCCTTTAAATTTGTCAAAAGAGTTTATTTTTTTGGGTACTTGTCCAGCAAACTATCTTACAGCTCATCTGTCGTTATTTGAGTTCATAGAGAATACAAATGTGATTACTTTGAGACATGAAGTTTTGAGGTTCATTGGTATATTTTTTATTTATTGAGCCTATTACTGAATAAAAGAAAACCTAAATATTTCCAACATTTAATTTAGTAATAAGCAAATAAAAATAGTTTAATTTAGAATTGCTTTGAAATTGCTTTTGTACTTTTAACAATTTAAAGCAGATTAGTCTGGTCTTCGTAGATTTCTGTAAAATATAATTTAATGTAACTGTAAAATATTTAACTTACCGTGTACACTTTATTCCAAATATATTCAGGTTGTGGTTTAGCCTCCGCTATACATTCAACTGAAAGCTTTGAACCTAACATGACTATTGTATTAGGGATACCAATAATGTCCTGAATTATTGGTACGGTCATAACCTGTGAATAATATTAACACAATTTTAATATCTTATATAATATAGGTCGAACTGCATCAAAATATATTAATACTACATTGATAATAGAGAGACGATTGTTCAAAAGTGTAATAATAATTAAATTATTATTATTATTATTATTATAAATCATTAATTTCAAACAATCTTAATACGAGTATATACCTCAACTTTTATAAATCTATCAACTTCTTCCCCTGTGACCATAACCATTGCTGTACATTTATATGTTCCACCATCTTCAGTAGTTACGTTTCTTACTATCAACCCTTCCTTTGTGATTGAATATTTTTCACTATTTTGAATCTGAAATACATTTACATTAAAATAATCGATTACATTAAAATATTGTCACGAATTTAATCGATTTTATAAGTTGAATATTTACTTCAACTAATGCGTTCTCTTCTCCTTTGTGCCATGTAATTAATGGAGGGTATTCACCGCGTGCTTCACAATTGATTCGTGAATCTTGCGATTCCATAATATGCTGAACTTCTGCAGCATTAATAAAGTACAATGGATCTGTAACATAACATAAAAATGATTTACAGCACGTGTTAATCTCCGGCTTACAACAATTAGGTCATGATTTTATTGTTTTCATACGTACCATATGCTTCTATTGTATGAGTTTGAACATATTGTTGCCCTTCGAAATTTGTTATGCACTTGTAAGCTCCAGACATTGATTTGCTGACCTTTGGAATGTGAATATTTAGACCGTCGCTTTGTTTTTCGACGTAAATCAACGAATCTGTACCTGGTCTTGTTAAAACAAATGAATTTAGTAGTTATGTCGTAATTTACTAGCTATCACGAAGTTCTAATTCTATTCTATTTCCATCATTTAATACAAGAATGGAATTTGCTCCAAGTCTTACCCACATTCTTCTACTAAACCTCAGAGTGAATGAAGACTCATAACATTATGTCATTACAGTTTCTTACTATATTAGTTGTGCTTATTTTCGTGGTCATTTTTTAAGAAGATAAGACGTCCGGTGAATCCGTATTGAGCGATGCACCGGTGTTCGAATCTCAGGCAGGTACCAATTTTTCTAATGAAATACGTGCACAACAACTGTTCATGATTGAGTTCCACGGTGAAAGAATAACATCGTGTAATAAAAATCAAACCCGCAAAATTATAATTTGCGTAATTACTGGTGGTAGGACCTCTTGTGAGTCCGCACGGGTAGGTACCTACCACCATCCTGCCTATTTCTGCCGTGAAGCAGAAATGCGTTTCGGTTTGAAGGGTGTGGTAGCCATTGTAGATATACTGGGACCTTAGAACTTATATCTCAAGGTGGGTGGCGCGTTTACGTTGTACATGTCTATGTGTTTCAGTAACCACACAACACCAGGTGGGCTGTGAGCTCGAACACGCACTAAAAAAAATATCATTTGATTGTAATAAGAAATAAAAACAAAAATATTTCATGACATACCCTGCAGTGATGATTTCATTGTTTATGTCTGTCCATTTTAGGTATTGCATATTATATCCGGGTTCAGAACAATGACACTCTTGGTAAAATGAACTCCCCGTCGGAATGATGTTGGTTTTGTGCTCATCGTTCCGGAAGCACGCGATACAGTCTATAAAAATTACAAGGTTAATATTCTAGTACAGCTATTAATTTAAATATAGATGCTATTTTTAACTTTGGCATACTTTATTCAAGATGATAAAAAAAATCCTTTGAAATGTACTGAAAGTGACGGTCGTTCCATTTTCAAATGGGTTCAATTTCAATTAATGTGTGCACACAAACAACATAATAAATTTTTTGTGATGTGGAATCTATACTAATATTATAAAGAGGAAATATTTGTTTGTTTGTTTGTATTGAATAGGCTCCGAAACTACTGAACCGATTTGAAATATTCTTTCACTGTTTGGAAGCTACACACATATTATTTACAAGAAATATCGCGACAACGTATGTCCAACTATTATAGTTATGCCGCTATAAGTGCTCTTTTAGTTAAAAAAATAAAACAACGTTAAATATCGTTGAAATTTTTGTTAAAGACCCGAGCGGAGCCGGATCGGGCCGCTAGTCATTAAATAAGGGTATTTAAAATTAAATTATGTTTTTGTTTTTGGAACGAAGTTCCTTATCGCGCCTTGTGAAAGGGGGCTAGACGGAAAAAATTCTTACGAAAAGTTGTCACGACACTTTTTGCTATAAATTCTTACGAAAAGTTGTCACGACACTTTTGGAACGAAGTTCCTTATCGCGCGTTGTGAAAGGGGGCTAGACGGAAAAAAATCTTACGAAAAGTTGTCACGACACTTTTTGCTATTAATTCTTACGAAAAGTGGTCACGACACTTTTTGCTATAGTAAGCTATTGTAAGCTGTGCGGCGTCGCATGTTTCTCTGTCTGTCTGTCTGTCTCTCTCTCTGTCTCTCTCTCTCTCTTTCTTCATACCTCGAATAGAACTTTAAATTAATATTTTTATAATTGGGAACTTCGTTCCTATCCGGTGTCCCACGACACCACACATCTTTTTTTTTTATTGCTTATATGGGTGGACGAGCTCACAGCCCACCTGGTGTTAAGTGGTTACTGGAGCCCATAGACATCTACAACGTAAATGCGCCACCCACCTTGAGATATAAGTTCTAAGGTCTCAGTATAGTTACAACGGCTACCCCACCCTTCGAACCGAAACGCATTACTGCTTCACGGCGGAAATAGGCGGGGTGGTGGTACCTACCCATGTGGACTCCCAAGAGGTCCTACCACCAGTGATTACGCAAATTATAATTTTGCGGGTTTGATTTTAACCATTATTTGGATCTCATTACAATACAAAGCATGGATCTACTTTATGACTTTTATTTGCAATTACGTTCAGTCGCACATCGTAAAAGTTCACTGGAAGGATTAATTTGGATCAATGAATGTCAATCAGAGCACATACTCGTACATAATACATCTATGCGTAATATGTAACAAACACAATGTGACTAAATTCATCCATCATAAGACTAGAGGTCACAATTGCAATTGTATTGTTTGGCGGCAGTCAAATTAAACAAAAATACCAAACTTCTTTGCAGAGAGAAGCAGAATGATGGTACTCGTTTAACGATAAGTGGTTAGTAAACTGGTAAAGAAAGCGGTTTTCGACATCAAATTAGGATATTTTGAAATCAGCATTCGCCTATTTGCTCGATTCCAAGACAGAAAAATACTTTTAAAATATTCTCTTCAGAGATTTTTTTTCCAAGCATTATTTATTCCGCTTTAAGCGAGTTTGTCTAGAGTCTAGTAAGATTGTCACTCGTGATAAATATTGACGCTGGTATCTAATGTACCTAATCGAAACAAGACGAAATTGTTTCGAGTGGTTGAAAATTGTTTCTCATTTATTCAATTGTAGCCTTGGTGGAAAATTTTGCCAGTCAAAGCACGTTTAAAACATTTGGAACATATGGATGAGTTAATCATAAAAATATTGTGCTCTTCATTTTTCTTTTATGTCTGTGTTGTCAGGAGCTCAGAAATAAGTTGTATAAAGGCTAAAATAAAAATCATGAATGCTCTAGCGGAAAGAAACAAAAACATGTGATGTTCCTACAGTAATTAATTTGTTTATGAGAAAAAAAGAAACCATCCGCCTCAATGTAATAACCTTGTTGAAGACTGTTTAAAAATAAGTTTAAAAGAGATCTCATTCAGAATTCGTTCACTACGGTTTTGAAGGGCATTTGAATTGTTGGAAAGTTTAAAAGTGTTTAACCTTAATTTTAATATTTATCTATATTGAAAACTAGTGACAATACTTCACGATTTACCACTATCGCTAAAAACTAGTGACACCTTTACCTATCGTGTGTTGATGGACTACTCTAGATATCTTCGCTTGATTTTTATTACACGATGTTATTTATCCCTTCACCGTGGAAATCAATCGAGAACATATTATGTTAAGTACGTATTTCATGAAAAATTGGTACTTAAATTGGTCCTTTAGGCCACGACGACTTCACGTTATGTAAACAACGGGCCAAAGTATAGAACAAAACAAAACAGGAATATTATAAATTCTTACAAAATAATACATAAGATAGGATGAAAGGATGAAAAAAAATTACAAAAGTAACAATCCCCCGGAAATCTAAATATTGAACACGAACAATTCTAAATTAACGACATTTCCAAGGTAAGAATTCGTAGACAAACAAACAGTGCTGTTTTTGTTGTTTATATCTTAGAATCTATTGAGTGAGCGGAAATAATAATATTATGAGTTTTATAAACATCGTTTGAAAGCAGTCAGCTTCAAAGATTGTTTTTACCACGAAATCTTGTTATTGAGTGTAGGTACATATTGAAATTTGTATTTTATGAGCCTCAAAATACGTACAAAATGTTTTTAATTATCGACGACTACTTTTAATTATTTATTATGTATAAAGAACATAATAATAGTCAAATATTAAATATTTAAAATTATTAATATAGAAATATATTGCCTTGCCTTTGCAGCGATACGATTTCGGGCAGGTCGTAAAAATTTCTTGCTTAACAATTAAAGCTTTTCTGACAGAAATAAGAGAAAATGACGTAATCTCACACACACTCACAGTAATTAAGGCCTGTTATCAGTAATATACGTAGTTACTTAATCTACTCGTGTACTAATATTATAAAGCTGAAGAGTTTGTTTGTTTGAACACGCTAATCTCTCAGGAACTACTGGTCCGATTTGAGAAAATCTTTCAGTGTTAGATAGCCCATTTATTGAAGAAGGCCCTAGGCTATTTAACATCACGGTAAGACCAATACAAGTGGAGCACCAATAAAGAATTTTTCAAAATACGGGTTTAAATAGCTCCTTAACATTTTATAATTCAAAAATATTTTCACTTTCTACATAAATGAAGTGGGGGGGTAAAATTTAGCGTTATGCCAAAGTAACTATTCCACTCGGACGGAGTCGCGGGCAAAAGCTAGTGTAATATAATATAGTTACTTATAATTTAATTTTTGAAGAAAAAATACTGTAAATATCTAATATTTTGGCACACTAAAAATAAAATTCACGTTTCAGACAATTTGTAACACAGTGATTTATGGTGACACTCAAAAATTGCGACAATAAGCCTGTTCTCACAGAATCTTTCAGTAAATTAATATAGAGGAACTAGCCGACATGGCATTGCTGTGTTGTAGAGTGGAATTCGAGGCCATACTAATTAGGGACACTTAGGGGATTGTTACAGAGTCCCATATGTTGTGTCATCTTTATATGTATTTATTTGGTTAAACTTTTAGTTGTAGAAGCTTATTCTTGAGTAAGTTATTTACGAATGATCAACAGCCTTTTAATTATGACAAATTATCAGAAACTTCACAAATACTTACTTTATTAACAAAACAGTCACTGGGACTACCTTATAAGCAACTCAATAAAAATACTTTTATTGCTCCATAGACCTTATTTACTTGTTTTTTTTACTACTACTACTAAGCTCAAACTTAGCTATATTAATAACCAGATCACCGTTCTATGATTACTCATAAAAAATTAGGAACTTCTGTATTGTTTCTGTTAGTATCGATTTGACAGTCAAATACTTTTTTTTTTTTCAACTTGCTGACCCGGCAGACTTCGTAGTGCCTCAATCGATAAATAAAAGACCGACGGGGGATACATCAAAGGAAAAACAAAATTGTTATTTTTATTTAATTCCGAACATATTCATACTTATCTACCTTTTAAACCTTCCCTGGACTTCCATAAATAATTCAAGACCAAAATTAGCCAAATCGGTCCAGCCGTTCTCGAGTTTTAGCGAGACTAACGATCAGCAATTCATTTCTATATATATAGGTAGAGATAACAGCTTTCTATTAAAAACATTTATACCGTACATGTTAAAGTGCACCCACAAAAACGTATTTCTCCCCTAAGCCCCGAGGTTCGTTAAGAAAGAAAGCATGGGAGCTGGCAGACCCTCGAGATTTAATGTTATTTCTCCCAAGTGGAAGAATTAGCACTTTGAAAACGTTGAAAACATTCAAGTGCCCTTTCCTATTCGTTTATTATACAATAACGCAATAAAATAGTAGATAATGATTTTGTATTTTTATTTAGCTATTTAGAATTTTTTTTATTGCCTATTTTTCAGTCTTGCCTTTTTTTTGGTTTATAAATGAAACTATAATCGCTAAATTGATGGAACTCCTAATATTTATTGCTCCCGTCTTAATATTAATAACAACACTTGTTCAATTACAGTCTATTACTCTCGGACGGACTTCGCTCGTAAAATGTTATGTAATCTGTTTGAAAAAATGTTGGGGATAAATAGGTAGCGTGCTTAGATAAACTTCTAAACTGTAGTTGTAAAAGTTGTTTTCGTAAATTCTGTATTCAATTGAGTACCTTAACAAAAGTTTTTTTGTTATGAAATTTCACTCCTATTTGATTAGCTATTTTAACGTGATTAATAAACATCAAATATTCCAAGATATCAGCTTATCTCTCTTTCTTTCTAGCCATTCATCCCATACGTTTTTTTTGCCCTACCTATTCGCTGGTAGCTTAAGTGGCCATTCCAGCTACGCCCGGACTGG